TCCTTCCCCTCCCTACAGGTGTCCCTTCCTCCCTCCGTTCGATCCCAGAACTCATCAAATTCCTGACCATGGCGATCTTCACGTGCTCGGCTTATCACGCTGCGGTCAACAGTGGCCAGGTAGGTCAGCTGGTTCTTTGTCCTTGCCTCAAGGGAAGAGACGCGCCACGCATTGCATCACCTCTTTCCCCCTGGGGAAGAGGGTCTCAGGGGATTTTTGAACAGGGAAGTCTTTGCAAGCTGAGCATGCCATGCAAGTAAATCTTTCCCTTGAAGCAGGAGCAGATAAGGCTGTTGTGCAATGGAAGACAGTGGAGCAATCCACCAGGGCCAATCTCCATGGGCGCCCAAAAGTATCTGATGCATAGCCAAAAAAAGCAGCTAGGAAGTGTAGAAAGAACGCCCAATATGTATCACACATGCCAAAGATATATTAGAAGCATCCACTGTGTGCATCAGAAGTGCCCTGTGTGCATCAGACACATCCAGTCCTCATTAGAGGCATCCAGTGTGTGCAATCATTGCACATCAGAAGGGCCTAGTATGCATCGGAAGCATCCAATGCGCATTAGAAGTGTCCAGTGTAGTACTCAATGTAAATAGAAAATGCATAGTGTGCATCCCAGCTGTCCAATGTGTGCAACAGAAGTGCCCAGTGTACGTCAAAAGTGTCCTGTGAGCATTGGAATCAGCCATTGCGTACATTACAATTACCCAATGCATACAAGAAGCTTCTAATTGTGTATCAGATGTGCCCAAAGTACGTCAAAAGTGAGCATTGGAAGAAGCCATTGCGTACATACAATTACCCAATGCATACAAGAAGCTTCTTGTATGCATTTGGATAATTGCAATCTATGTGTTTACTGTGCATCACAAGTACCCAGTGCACATCAAAAGTGCCCAGTATGCACCGGAAGCATCCAATGTGTACATCACAAGTACCCAGTGCACACCAGAAATGCCCAGTGTGCATCACAAGTCTTTAACATGCTCAGCATTAATACCTAATGAACATCAGAAGTGCACTCTGTACATCAGAGGTGTCTAATGTGCATCACATGTATCCAATACATGCCAGAAATTGTGATGCACCCAATCTGTGCATCACAATTACCCAGTGTACACCAGAAATGTCCAGAAGTCTCTAACGTGCTCAGCATTAATACCCAATGTGCACTCTGCACATCAGAAGTGTCTAGTGTGCATCTCATGTATCTAATACACGTCAGAAATGCCAGGTGAGCAACAAAAGCATCCAGTGTGTGCATCACAGTAATCAGAAGTGCCCAGTGTGCATCTCAATTATCCTATATGTGCAACAGATGTGCCCAATGCACATCAAAACTGCCCAGTGTCCAGTGTGTGAACCACAATTACCCAATGCACATCAGAAATTCCCACTTTGCGCTAGAAGCATTCATTGTGTGCATTAGATATCTCCAGTGTGCATAAGATGTGCCCAGAGTGTGCATCAGAAATACCCACTGCACATCAGAAGTATCAATGTGTACACCGCATGTACCCAATGTACGTCAGAGACGCCCAGTGAGCACCAGAAGTGCCTGACATTCCTCAGAAGTATTTTGATGTGCATTACAAGTACCCAATGCGCATTGCAGCACTCTTTTCAATGTCTGGGCACACAACTTTGCAAGGCACTAGTGGGTTTCATGACATTTCCGGCCCATAGCTACAGAGTCACAAAGAGAGAAAAATATGAGTGTGATGTTGAATCTCAATAACATGGAATAATGTCTAATATTAATGAGATTTCTCTCTCCTCCACATGGCAGTTTGAACTGGGGGCTTTCATGCCCAACCTGCCGTCATCCATGCGGAAGCCCCCGCCCCAAATGAAGGCCCCTGTGACCCTGAACGAGTTCTTGGACATCATCCCTGAGATGAACACCACCAGCCAGGTCCTCTCAGTCCTGTGGGTCTTGAGGAATGAGGACTTTGACATGGTAAGAAAGGAATATTCCATCACTGAAGGCAAGGGAACTGAACATGGATCAAAATATCTCCTCTTGGCTTTCCACTTCTTAGGGTGCATCTACATTGCAGAATAAATGCAGTTTGGCACCACTTTAACCACTGTGGCTTGGTGCTATGGAATCAAAGGGAATTGTACATAGAAAGGCAATTGTTGAACATAGAAGGGCAAAGATCTTGTCAAACTACAACTCCTTGGAATGTTTAGCATTGAGTCCTGAGCAGTTGAAGTCCTGTCATACTACATTCATTCTATAGTGTAGACACACCCTTACGATATCAATGGGAAGTCAGGGATAGGCCTTATGTGGCCTCTCCTATTTGGTCTTCTTGCTTGAATACTGAGTTTCAGAATTTGGAAAAGTTCCTTTTTTGTTTTGGGAAATTAGGAATCTCCAAAGCCTTTTGGGTGCGTGACTCTTTTGGAGATTAATTGGCATTCACACTATTTTGAATAATCATAACCTTTTGGCAAGTATCATCTTCCTGAGAAGAGTTTAATAAATACTCGTTTGAGTCAATCTTCTCCTTAGTGAAAATATCCACTAGTATTCAAGTAAGGCAAATTAGGCTTCTCAGTTATTAGACTGATATACCTGGTTCTCTCTCTGAACTGTTAGGAACAAAGATATGCCAATACACAAAATATATAGCAGATCTTCAGAAATGTTATTTCAGTTGCCCAAAACCATCTGCTCTCCCAAAAAATATATTGGTTTTTAAATCATGCTCTCAAGAGACCGAAATAAGTAGTCTTTGTTAAAAGTAACATATTTGATTTACGTACAAACTTCATGCATATAGGAACATTTCTTATTGGTTGAAAGTTTAAACAATAAGTTCTCTAAAGCATTCTGTTTTAGTCTCTTCTTTGTTGCAGACAGACTAACACTATATCTTCAGTGTAGTGGGGGCTCCTTCTTTGGAGGCTTTTGAACAGAGGCTGGATGGCCATCTGTCAGGGGTGCTTTGAATGCGATCTTCCTGCTTCTTGGCAGAATGGGGTTGGACTGGATAGCCCACGAGATCTCTTCCAACTCTATGATTCTATGATTCTAATACATTACTGAACATTGACTCAATAAAGATTGACTACTCACTGTAGCACACTGATACAAACTTTATACTAACACTGACAATTGCATACTGTATTGACTGACTTCTAAACTGTACTGACTTCTAAAAATGGAGTCTCAGTCTGAATAATCCCAGATCTGGTCACATAGTCTGCAGTCCCTCCCACAACCTCAATCAACATAGAGTTAAGGGAAAACACTGAAAACACAGCAGAAGAGACTTAAAAAGCAAAAAACCAAAATATATATTACAACGCGTGCACAAAACCACATATATACACATATACACAAATATATACACACATATATGCATATATAAACACACAAAACACATATACACAGACTGGGCCACAGCAACTTGTGGCAGGGGGCGGCTAGTCTATATAAATAAAAATGTAATGTTTGTTTGTGGGATTAACAGAACTCAAAAACAACTGGATGAATTGACACCAAATTTGGACACAAGACACCTGTCAGGCCAACGAGTGAGCATCACTCACAAAAACACTGAAAAACACAGCAGGAGAGACTTTAAAAAGCCAATTTTTTATTTAAAAAAATACATTACAATGCATGCACAAAACCACACACACACACACACATGCAAACACACGTATATACACATATATACAAATATATACACACACATTGTTTTGTCATGCGCTGGGCCTGTAAAGAATTTCCTTTAGAACAGGACGTGCAACCTTTGCCCAGCAGGAAACCAGGGGGTCCAAAGAGAAGTTCTCAAAGGTTTTCCACCACAAATGATCTTTAGATGGCTTGTGAAGTATAACAAAGCCCTTTATTAATGAACAATCAAACAGAAACTTCTCTTCTCTTCAGTAAAGATAAACAAATGATTCCAGGCTTTTATGCAACTGGTGGCTTCCTAAACTTGCCCACGAAGGACAGGCAACTGTCTTCAATAACTTCTTCTTTGCTTTAAAGGAAAGTCCCCTTTTTAACTTCTCCCAGGCTGACTGTAATCTAACCCTTACTGATATGGGCTCCGCTACCGGGTCGAACTGCTTCTCAAACGCCAAGTGGACCTACCAGTAAAGGCTTAGATGTTCTCCAGCTGGAGTTCTTTGGTCTTTAGGGCTGTTTCCGTGGAAATCTTTAGAATCTTTGGAGGCTCTTAAGACTGTTCTCCCCCGGAAAGTTTTAAGGCTTGAAGCTTGTGTACAGGGGAAGCTTGCACACGTCCTGTACATTAGCTTTCCTTGCTGAGACTAACTAAAAAAATGGCTCCCTTCCCTTCCCAATTGCCCTGAGCAAGGGGCTGAACCAAAACTTAACAATGATGGACAGGTGACTTGCCCTCTGACTGCAACCAAAGGAAGCCACTTATCTGCAGAATCCCAGGAACCTTGGACTGCAAGCAAACATTTAATACAAAGCAAATAAAATTGGAGCTCCTGGTACAGCCATACCAGCACACACATATACACACACAAAGCACCTATACACAGACTGGGCCACAGCAACAAGTTTGCCCATGCCTAGTGTTGATGCACCCCTATTGGGTGGGAGTAATATACTCTGTACATGAGCAGAGGCACTCATACTTTTTGGAGTGCTTCACAGTCTCCAAAGTTCAACTCTGAGGAATCTGAATTAAACATCCTAATATGTTTTCTCTGTCCCTGCTTTGCAGAAAATGCTTGGCGAATACGACGAGGAGCACTTTGTGGAAGAGGAGCCCAAGCAGCTCATCACAGCTTTCCAGCAGCGCTTGGCCCACATTGCGGAGGAAATTAGAAAGAGGAATGTCTCACTGAAATTGCCTTACACCTACCTCTATCCACCCAACATCGAGAACAGCACCACAATATAGGAACTGGATTACAGCTCCAAAAGATACCCCTGCTGGACCCTCTTTGTTTGTGCAGCTCAGCAATCTTATCCCCAAGATACATGGCAAACGCTGTTAATTTCTGCTTTGTCTCCATTTTCCTGCATGCAAAAAGGGAGAGAACCGTTCCTCCTCTCGCTCTTGGCTTTGGGCCACTTTGTTCTGCTAAGGGGTTGGACTAGATGACTTTAGGGTCCCCTTACAATGCACTGATCTATGGCACTGTTTAGCAAAGAGAGGGAGACCACCTCCATCTGTGCTGAGATCTCACTATACAGCGTCACAAGCAATGTCTGAAATAAAATATATCATTTTGTTGTTCTATATTTTGCTGCTGTTATTGATCATAATGTAAATATCTGATATGCAGGATGTATCTTAATCACTGGACCAAATTTGGCACAAGTACCCGATACACCCAAATCTCAACACTGGTGGGGTTGGGGAGGGGGATTGATTTTGTCATGTGGGAGCTGTAGTTACTGGGATTTATAATTCACCTATAATCAAACAGCTTTCTGAACTCCACCAACAATGGAATTGAACCAGACTTGGCACACAGAACTCCCATGACCAACAGAAAATACTGGAAGGGTTTGGTGGGAATTGACCTTGAGTTATGGAGTTGTAGTTCACCTACATCCAGAGAGCACTGTGGACTCAAACAATGATGGATCTGGACCACACTTGGCATGAATACTCAATATGTCCATATGTGAATACTGGTGGAGTTTGGGGGAAATAGACCTTGACATTTGGGAGTTGTAGTTGCTGGGAGTTATAGT